AAATTTTACCAATTACCTACGCTAAAATCACCAATTAATAAACCAATTATTGCGCTCGGTATTTTTCAGGGTAATATTGAACTTTATTCTGAGCGGAAACGGGTTGTCAGTCTAGAATATTTTAACTAAATATAATTTGTATGTTTTCAATTCAATAAATACATTTTGTCAACATTTGAACTTTAAATAGCTATAATAAAAAACGAGCCGATTTATTTTTAATATTTTTCAACTTCTGTTATATCAACTTACGGGGAACCTTGAATTAAATTTTCAAGATTTTTGACCCAACAAATAAAATTTTATTTACATTTATAGAATACAAAACTTAATAAATTGTGAACTTAAAATGTCCGTAAATGGTTTGAAATAAGTCAAAACATTTTGATGGTGTATCGCAAATGCTAATATAAACATTCAGTTAAAATTTCATGTATCTTAATTAAGTAATTTGTTTGAGAGTTAYGCCAAAATCCGAAATCGATTTTGCTTAAAAAGTCCCATTTTTCCTTAATTTTGTTTTTGTTTTCCCAGTACTTTTGATAACTACTGGTAATTTTTATCTCCCTAATGTACCAACTAGATTCACTTTCCCGCCGGAAAAGCTACTGAAGTTGAAAATCGAAGCATTATTTCGGCTTCTTATCTGTTGTACACAGACATACAAAAATAAACACACTTCATTATTGTAAAATCAATACTTACCTTAATCACTCCGTTAGGAATCTAAAATATTAATAAAACATTCAAAGTAAAAAAAAAAATATTTTAATTTTGCATCAAATTTAATATGCATGCCATTATTGAAAAATACGTTTATCTAATTTTTTTATATATAATTAGGAGGCGCGAGGTTGACAAAAACCGATCTAATTTACATACATGAATATACATCCGAGCCGTACTTATACATATACTTTTCGATTAAAATAAATGATTGATTACATTTACCATAATCGTAATAAGCGGTGACCACTTTATTATTATATTAATATAAGTACTAGCAATAGGTATATAATAATAATAAATATAAGTATTGGTATTATTATTATGCTTAGGTATAATTAAACATTATTAATCAATGATATTATTTACCTATAGGTATGTAAAATATAAATATTCAGTTTTCAAGTAGCGTTGTAATTTAATTCACGAGCCTCTAATTTGTCGAGTTTGAAGTTACACTAAAACCATAATATAATCAATTTGCGTGCGGATGATGTGTTTTCATTTTGGAAACATATTATAAGTACAGTGAACAAA